TCCCAGCTACTCAGGAGGCTGAGGCAGGAGAATCGCTTGAACCTGGGAGGTGGAGGTTGCAGTGAGCCAAGATCTTACCACTGCACTCCAGCCTGGGTCACAGAGTGAGACTCCATCTAAAAAATAAAAGTAAATCTCTCCAAGCAGTAAGAGTCATGCAACCAAGCTACTGAGTTCAGTTTCTCCCATGAACTTGTCTCGGAACGTAGTGGAAGTCACAACCATTAAAGCCTGTAGCCCCCCCCACCCTTGCATCAAGGTGGCCCCCTCTTATGCGTGCCTTACCCTGCAAGGCTGTAATTGTGGTAGGTTGTGAAAGCACTTTGAAGGTAAAAGTGTCTGTTGATACTTCGAAAACTGCTTTTAAACGGCTATAATAGCATATGCCACATGAACAAAGCACAGAACCTTATAACTATGCTTGCTTGTGGAAAGACATCCCTTGTCCACAGACCAAGTATTTGAAACTACCACTCCATACAGCTCCAGGGCCCTGAGAGAAGCTACCATGGCAGCTTTGGGAAACCAGCCACCCTTGGCTTCACTTTGATCTTCCTCTGTCTACACCCTTGTTTCATTTCCTCTGCCACAGACGTTCAATTACCAGGTACTATTATTGCTTGATAATAACTATAATTACTACAAGGACTGCCTGAGATGAAAAAGACAGGTGAAATCGAACTTTCACATGGACTCGTGTCTGAGCTGGGGAGTCTGTTTGAGTTTGAGTCAGGGAAAGCCTCAAACCCCCCACCACCCGCTCCCGTTGGTCCCCGCAGTAACTGGGGGCGAACAAGGACCAGACCCTCCAAGCTGGAGGCTTGAAAACTGAAGGGCAAGCGCCTGGTCCAGCGATTCGGAAACCGAGATGCAAAGTCCTCCCGCGCTCCTAGAGAGGACCCGGAAGCGCGGCGCGGTCCCGGAAGACGAGGTGCTGACACACTTCCGGCCTTTGTGACTCATTGTGTCTGTGTCGAGGCGTCGGGAGGGCCTAAATCCGAGTGCGGTGCCCTTCGGCCGGCCTGAGCCCCAGAGTCAGCTCCCCTTTCTCTCCCAGCGCCCCCAGGCCGCTCCCGGGGCTCACGGTGAGACTTGGGGCCGGCCTCTGGGGTGGGCGGGCGGGGCCGCAATGGTGTGTGCGCGAGGGTGGGCTCCGCAGCTGCGGCCCTGGGACCCCCTCCAGGCGGCCCCGGTGTTGTGAGAAGAGAGTCCATGCCCCTGCCTCCTGGCCGGGCCCGGCCGTAGGAAGCATCGCTGTCCTTGGGAGACGTCTCCACCCCACCTCCGGGACCAGGCTGGGAGGGGGCGAGGGTTTCAGTGGCCGAGGGTGCCCGGAGACGTGGGGAGAAGCCGTCTGCGGGACCCTCTCCCGCAGTGTCGTCATCGCCCTTTGACATTTCTGCAAAGGGGGTCGCGAGCGAACCGACCCCGGTCTTGATTTTTCTGCTCTCCTTTCGTCGCCATTTGCTTTGATTCCGGTGAGGTGTTTTTTTCCCCCTTGGTTCCTTCGGGACCTTGAGGTGAAATGAGCGGAAGGATGAGAGATGGATACATTTTGAGGTGCCGCATACGTTTCCAGACCTGCCTTTCCTCCTCCTGCCCTCATCACTGAGCGGTGATTAAACAGTATTTGAAGCCTAGTCATAGTGGATAAAGAAGTGATTGGGATCTAGTAGAGATTATATACACCCCACTCTTTCAGCTTGATGGAATGCTTTGAAGGCTTTGGAAAAGATCTGTCCGGGACGTTGGGTGGATTTTTCAATTCTGGATAGTTGCTCTGTTTGACATGGAGTGGGATGAGAAGTGGAGGGAATTTGTGGAAATTGCACTGTGTCACTAGGAGACTGATTAGCTGAGTGACCTTGGATAAGACGAGACACACTAAGTCTTAATTTCGCCATCAATAAAACTAACTGGATTTTCTCGAAAGGCTCTTCCGACTTCGAAATGATTTGATCAATGTAATTGAAAAATTAACTACAGTTTAGCTTGACACTCTTCCGTCCCTCCCCTCCCTTTCCTGCAGTGCCCCCGGTACACAATAAGATACTTTCATTATAGAGAGTGGCTGTTCCATGGCTTGCGACCAAAGAAAGCATTTATTGTACGGGCCAGTGCTAGGCGGATTGGAGGCGGTCAATAAATACTTGTTGAATTGAATTGTGGAGAATTCATTGTAACCACATCAACAAAGCACTGTTAGTATATATGCTGAACAAATGTGGGGAAATCGCTGTGTTACATAGGTAACCATGGTGATTTGCCCCAGAATGTGTATCCAGGTTTGTATCTTGTCTAAATTACCATATAAGATTCTTGTTTATTTCAGGCAGTTTTCACCACTGTTAAAATACTAACGGGGAAGCTAGCTACTTAGTCTTTTGCTCATTCTCGATTTAAAAGCATTTAAAATACAGATAAATAGCGTATTAAATCTAACATTTTCATTCTGTGGGAGTATCAATATTCTTTGAATAACTACATGTCTTTTAAGGTAACTTTTTCATATTAAAACATTTGATAGCTCTTTAAAAAAATTGAGTGTAAAGGGCAAAGGGCAATTTATTTAAACTTTTTTTTTTTTTCTTTTTTTTTTTTTTTGAGACCGAGTCTTGCTCTGTCGCCCAGGCTAGAGTGCAGTGGTGCAATCTCGGCTCACTGCAACCTCTGCCTCCCGAATTCAAGCAATCCTCCTGCCTCAGCCTCCCGAATAGCTGGGACTACAGGCATGTGCCACAAGGCCTGGCTGATTTTTGTGTTTTTAGTAGAGACAGAGTTTTGCCATGTTGGCCAGGCTGGTCTCGAACTCCTGATCTCAGGCAATCTGCCCACCTCGGCTTCCCAAAGTGCCGGGATTATAGGCGTGACCCACCGTGTGCCCAGCCTTTATTTACACTTTCAACACTATGCCCTGGAAAAATACTGGGCTGTTTAGAAAACAGCCTTTGAGCTTGTAACTTCAAGCCCTTGTTTAAGAAAATCATTTCTGGCCGGGCGCGGTGGCTCAAGCCTGTAATCCGAGCACTTTGGGAGGCCGAGACGGGCGGATCACGAGGTCAGGAGATCAAGACCATCCTGGCTAACACGGTGAAACCCCATCTCTACTAAAA